GGAGGGCAGAGGGCGGTACACCGGGATCGAAAGCGGGGCTGTGAAGAACATCTCAGCCCGGAGAGAGATAGCTTAAGGTAATGTGTGTGATCTCTGAGTTTTTGTTCCATGTCCAAATTTTCTTAACTTTTTGCCAGTGTTAGTGTAGCATTTATAAGTAGTGATTGACATAATTTTGGTCTCAATAAACTCGTTAAATTTCCCGTCTGTGTCAATTGTTGAATCCTCTTAGCCTTTTGGATATAGTGGTTGACAACCGTTTTCATAATTAATGACAGTCATAGAAAGTACTCTCCTAGTCAAGCAATGTTTCTTGCCTCGTTGCTTGATATAGTTTCAATGGTCAAAGGCAGATGGTGGCAGCGTATTTAATCCTTGTGTTAGCATTTCCTTATTGGCAGTGTACCTTTGGTTCCGGTGTAACCATCATATGTCAGCTCATAACAGTGTTATTAAGTGCAACCGATGAGGAAGTGTTACTCAGGATAGTTAGTGTTCCATTATAGTGGTGTTCCATTATGGTGGTACATATTATAGTGGTGTTACATTACTGGGTGATAGAAGCTACCTCAAAGAGGATAATTTGGTGTCTACACCCTAGTTATACCTGGTGGACTAGCCTGCTGTACTATAAGATAAGGAACCTCTTCAATGTATGTAGTTAATTCTGTAGTTTGATTGGCTGCATACATATAATATAAACCCCCCTAATGTGTAGAGGATCGATTTGTGAGATTATGAGTTTATTGCAGAAATACAGTCCACTTATCATTATACAATTGCTATCGAAGTATATAAATTAACGTAAATATAAATTCATATAAATTAAAGAAATATAAATCTCACAGGTCGGTTCCCACACTGGACCCGGATTCACGAAGCAGTTACGCAAGCACTTACTAACGTGTACATCTATCCTTAACCTTTGACGACTTTGCTTACATTTATTAAACAGTTTACAAAACTTGCCAATCAACTGTTGTTATTGTTATAAACAGCCTCCTGGTACTTCGGAGCTCATTAACTGTTTAATAATTGTAAACAAAGTCACCAATAATTGAGAAAAGATGTACAGGTTCGTAAGTGCTTGCGTAACTGCTTTGTGAATCCAGGTCCAGGTCCTGAGCGACGAGGCCTGAGCGAGAGTGACACTCCCACAACGACAGTGACCATGGCACCCGAGGCCACGGTGTCTTCGGTAAGCAGCTGGACCGGGGCACAGCCTTACACCGCGGGTATCTGGCGGTTCAAGGAGAGCCTGAATACTGGCGACCTTATTTTGTTTTGGTGGAGCAGTTTTGCAGTGAACTGCGTCGGCCGGAGCCTCAGTAAGTCGTGTCCTCCCTGCAGTTGTGGCTCTACCTCACTCTGCACAGTAGAGGCCCTTGGGGGAGTGGCTGCTCTCTCATCGTCAGGGAGGCTCCTTTGTTCTCTGGGCGCCAAAGTGGGGGACGTGTGCCACAGTGTCCTTGTGTGTGAGTATATGTGTTTATTTGCTATTGTTATTGACTCTTTGTGCAGACGAGGAGTCACAATAACGTGGCTGAAATATGTTGATCAAACCACACACTAGAAAGTGAAGGGACGACGACGTTTTGGTCCGTCCTGGACAATTCTCAAGTCGATTGAGAATGGTCCAAACGGACCGAAACGTCGTCGTCCCTTGACTTTCTAGTGTGTGGTTTGGTCAACATATCACTGTTTGTACCTTCAGGATCGAGCAGATAGCTCATGGACTTCGTCTTTTTAACCATCGGTTTCTACTGTACTGACTCGAGACCTATTTCCCGCAATCACATCAAATGTGCATATATTTTTTCTCTCTCACCTACTAACACACTCATTTCAAGAATACAGCTCGTAGAAGCTGTCTAAACCCAGTTACCTATTTACTGAGAGATGACAAATCCACCAGGTGAAAGAAACTGGACCCATTTGATTCTACCTCTGCCAGGAATTGAACCCGGTCCTTAGGGTTACGATCGCCGAGAGACGTAAGTTCTCTCGCGAGACTTGTCCATGTGTTCATACTCACCTATTTGTACTCACGTATGTGTGACTACAGGATCGAGCTCAAGCTCTTGGACCCCGCTTTTCTAGCCGCTGCTTGTCTAATGTAATGACTTGAGATTATTTCCCTGTCATACCTGCTTTTAAAGTTATGAATGGAGTGAGCCTCTACAACCTGCTCTTTTAGGTCATTCCATTTTCTCACAACTCTTACGCTAAAAGAACACTTTATAACATCTTGAACACATCTGAGTCTCAAGCTTCCATCCGTGACACCGTGTTGTATTGGTATCCATCGGAAACATTTTCTCTGTCAATCCCTCTAAGTAATTAATGTCTTAAATGTCATGTCCCCTATCTTCTTCCTCCTTTCTAAGGTCGTCAGGTTTAGTTCCTTCAGTCTCTCTTCGGACACTATCCCTCACAGCTCTGGGACGTGTATGTGTGTGTAATTTCTTTGCCGTGGAATTTTTAACATCATATGTTAGCCTTAATGCAATTTTCCTCGTGCTGCACCTTGCACCGTTTGTGGGAAATTCTAGATTACCTGGGATATACGCAGCACTTGACTGTTCCGCAGAAAGGCACCCACAACAGTCGACTAACACCGAGGTTCCTAATCACTGCTGGGTGAACAAAGGCAACCGCTGTTGCCTTTGTTAACCCTCTGGCAGCGTGAAACGTATGGGGAAGTCTCCTTACACACTCTCACACACACACTCTCACACACACTCACACTCTCACACACACTCACACTCTCACACACACACTCTCTCACACACACACACTCTCACACACACACACACTCTCACACACACCACACTCTCACACACACATTCTCACACACACTCACACTCTCACACACACACTCTCACACACACACTCTCACACACACACTCTCACACACACACTCTCACACACACACTCTCACACACACACACACACTCTCACACACACACACACACAAAATCAGAATCTTCTATACCACATGTAAGACCAATCCTGGAGTATGCGGCCCCAGCATGGAGCACAAGACGAAGCTGGAAAAAGTTCAGAGATATGCCACTAGACTAGTCCCGGAGCTAAGAGGCATGAGTTACGAGGAAAGGGTGCGAGAGATGCACCTTACGACACTGGAAGACAGAAGAGTGAGGGGAGACATGATCACAACCTACAAAATCCTCAGGGGAATCGATTGGGGTTAACAAGGATAAACTATTCAATACTGATGGGATGCGAACAAGGGGACACAGGTCGAAACTGAGTACCCACATGAGAAACAGGGACGTTAGAAGGAACTTTTTCAGTGTCAGAGTAGTTAACAGATGGAATTCATTAGGCAGTGATGTGGTGGAGACTGACTCCATACACAGTTTTAAATGTAGATATGATAGAGCCCAGTAGGCTCAGGAACCTGTACACCAGTTGATTGACAGTTGAGAGGCGGGACCAAAGAGCAAAATCTCAACCCCCGCAAATAGGTGAGTACACACACACACACACTGTTACGGCCCTACTGGGGCGAAACCGGGTTCTTTTCTGGTGTTATTAGAATTTGGGAATCCGGCCAGAAGTTAGTAGAGGCTTTCAAGGGATGTGTTCCGTAACGCAAGTTAACTTAAGGGGGAGGGATACAAATGTTCTGATTTATATATATATTACCACCAAACCAAAAATAAATATATAAACAGTCAAACGGGGTTATAAATACACTATAATGTACAGAATTGTCTTCCTCCGAAGACACAGGATGCTCCACGGTGCTCACGATGAGTAGCCCTGGTTCTCTTCTTCGACCCACGATGAATCCTCTTTGATTCTCTTGGCGAATCTACCCTGGCCAAAGGCCAGCAAATCACAGTCCCACTGGGTGCTCCGTCGCGGAGGCCTTCAACCACAATCCAGCCTGTAGCTGGTAGGTTCCAATCAGCTCCACTGTGTAGGAAACTCCACGACCGATACTAGGTTGCGAGCCCTAGGCAGGAGCCTCGTGTGATCCTGCTGATCACCCTCCTCTCTAAGCACCACAGTGGCTAGTCTCTTCCACCAGCCAGCCCCGGATAAGGCGATTCCTGATACTGCCACGTCACAGGCAGGCTAATACTCTCAACAGTGTTCGTCCTGGGGTGACTCACAGCTTCTGCAGAGCAAACTCGTGGAGAGACTTTAGCTGCCTTGGGTAGACAGATCCGTCGTTCAATACAGCAGTCCCAGGTCGACTCTGTAATCAGACACATCATTAGTACTGGGACCAGGGAACCTCACTTACAGCCTTAGACACAAACGTCCACCTATCCACTCCATAGATGGTATTGCTGTCTAAGCGCCACCTCACCAGAGGTCAGCATGTTATGAGCTGATTAAGACGAAAATCCAGCACCTGTGGCTGGTATATCCCGTCCTCACTAGATGGCGTCGTCCATTTGGAGGGGGTTTCGGGAGCTGACTCACAGATGGCGTTGTCGTCACTGCTCCGTGCTACGACGCTGGACTCGGGTCCGTAACACACACACACACA